TTTCTGGGATAGGAAGCACGACAAATGAGACTATGTCAGTAGAAGACAAAATAAAAAAATGTATAATTGTGGAGCAACATCACTAACAGCAGTGCAGAAGGTACTATTAACAGTAAGAAGGAACGATAACAGTTCTTACCTCACTGATCGTGAGTCATCTTTTTAACTTCGAATAGAACCAGATGTTGCCCAGTTTATCAGCATACAGTATTGTGTGTGATTATTTTTATTCATATTATTCACTTACCTGGCTATATTGAACTATAGGAAAAATTATTCATTCGATATTTTCTCATAAAATGTCAAACAGCAGTAACCAAATTGAGGTTTATGCCAAAAAATACAAAAGCTTTGTTTATTATGTTGATAATAAACTTGGTGGTTTTCAGATATCAACAGTCTACGTGACTGTGCCAACAACTGAGCACCAAGCTAACCTGCACTTACGCAACCGACCCCAAGCAATTTGAATACGGAATACCCTCTTCTATTCAGCCACTCAAAGTTGGCGGAGGGGTATGCGCGGTTCAGTTTGAAAGTCAATTACTTTTCTCCCGTGTTCTATATTTAGGTGTGGAACGAGACGGATTGTACTTAACTAATGACCTCTCAGTTTGACCATCATTGTAGTTAAATTCCTTGAAAAGATTAGTATTGTTATGTGAAGATGCAAAAAGTGTTTCTAGATTGAAAAGACCTCAACCAGTAACACCTACTATGTATCGTGCCCGCCTAGTGAAATCAAAAGTCAGAACCGAGGAGGTTCGAATAAATATGTGATAGACTATTAATATATCGAGAAACGACTTATCTAACTGGCTAGCGGTTGCAGGGGAAATTGAGCACGTTATGCTCACTAGTGATCTGATGCGAATGCATGACCGAGTATCTTCAGCCAGCTGAGTCCATTAAAACTAACGTGGTCAGCATCCAATGTTGAATATCTACAGGGCTATTTATTTACCGCTACAGATCACTCCCTCCTAGTGGTGTAGTGATGACTCTGAGATGTGGCCAGCCAGAAGTCTAAACCCAACGAGTTTGTCACTGTTAAACACTCTCCTGATAGCTTGCTAAGTTTAGCAGCGTCGGGTTGTCTTTCCTTACTATAAGGGACCATGTAGTGCAATATAGTAATAAAGAAAAAAGTACAATGAAAATTTCGGTCCATCGCAAACTTTGTCCTTCTCTTTTCGTCTTTTTCAGTCGTCCTGGAAAATCGCAGTAAACAGGTTTCCCTTCTAATTACACCGCTTCGATGCGATTGATGCTGTTGTGTCGTTAGTTCCGTCTTTACCGATTACATAGTAGTTATTTTCAGGCTAAAGTACTTTGAAGGGTCCTTCGTATTTTGATTTGAGAGGCCGTTGAAATGAGTCTAGATGTACAAAGACGTGTGTATTTTATTGTAAGTCAGGCTGAACAAAAACATCAGTTAACTGCGGTCGAATGAAAACAGGTCTAACTGAACTCACTGTGTTTGTAAGCTAGCTTGTGTAGGAGGTAAGACCCATTCTCATTGAAGATGATGAAGGATCAACGATGTGACGTTGCATAAACGAGTTGAGCTACAATGCATCCAATTCCAGTTTTTACTGGATTATCAATACCATGTAAAACGAGTGGAAGGGCGCCGGCCCACTGTGAAACGTTTACAGCTGATAATAAAGCTTTTAGCTGTTGATGAAAGCGTTCTACCAACCCGTTTGCTTGTGAGTAGTAGGCGGTCGTTCGAAATTGTGTGGTTCCTAATAGTGTATTCAAATGATGGAAAAGTTCAGATTCGAACCAGTGTCCACAGTCTGTACTGATAGTTGAGGGGCAGTCGACAAAGGCGCGGGCCACTGTTTTAACAGTTATGTCCTTGATGGGTACTGCTTTTGGCCATCGAGTAAAAAGGTCTACGAAAGCTAATAGATAAGAGTATCCATTTGAATCTGGTAAAGGTCCTACCAACTCCAGATGAACATGGCGGAAGCGAGCATCGGGAGTTTTGAATGAGCTAGGAGTTCCTAGCCGAAAGTACTATACCTCGATTCGGTGTCTATTAACCGTCTCAAGAAGAATCACAAAGGTTGACAGAAATGGTTAACCCATTGTTGTAAGATTCCTCCGATTGCTGAGTCTGATGTGCCTACCGCGATACTAATGGGTGATTGGGTGTCCTAGTGTACAAGCATGGTTGCTTTTGCGATAAGTTCCTTAACTGCGGAGGATACTTTTCTTGCGCCACTGTCCAAATTTATGAATTTCAAACTTCCACGAAGTTGGTAAGTTGGAGGTTTCATAAGGGACGCGCAGTTTGGTATGAGCCATCTACAAGGCACTTAAACGTATGTGATTGCCTAATTGTCGTCGGTTCTGGAAATCCAAAATGGCCGACACTGCTTCTCAGAAGTTGGATGCCTTAAGCACCAACAGCGTGTGTCGAGGAAATCTAGGGAGTCAGTTCCGATTTGGCATTTCTGAATGTTTACAGTAATGCCATGCTTTCGTAATCGTTCAGACGCTGGAGATGAGATTCTCAGTCCGAACTTGTAATCAGGTAGTCATCATGTGGTGTGTGCCACTTATATCGACATAAGTGGTATATGATGTTGGTCGTGAACAGAAGGTCTGGAAGCAGAGAGACAAGAGGATCGAACAGTAAAGAATGGAAATAAAATGCGAATTGTATGAAAATGCAAGAACAATGAAGTCTGAGTCATTTAAAGACAATTGGTGGGCATTCTGCAAAATAAGCATTTACTTTATGATTGTCAGATTTTATTAACAAGTCCTGTAATTTCGTGTGAAATACATTCGACTGTCCCCACCCGTGTTCTGTTCACTACAATCGACATAAGCATATACGAAGTTGAGACTTTTAAAAACGTCCTCTATGAACCTTTGAAATGTTTGGGTAGCACATTTTGAACCGAAACACATGCGCTCAAATTCACAGAGACCGAAAGAAGTGATGATAGAGGTTTTAGGAATGTCGTCAGCGGCCATAGGAATTTGGTCATAGGCTATAACCAAGCCGATTTTTTAGAAAACTTCTGCACTTTTCAAGGTAGCTGTCAAATCGTGAGTGTGAGGCGACGGGTAACAGTCAGGAATGGTTTTTGTAATCAGTCGCTGATAGCCACAAGTTGGACACCAGTCGTTGCTGTCCTATTCCGGAACCATACTCAAGGGAACTGACCATGGGCTGTTTAGTGGTTGAATGATTCCTAAATCCATCATGTGAACGAATCTGTTTTTAGCCAACCTCAGCTCTTCGAGAGCCAGTTGGTGGGCTTTCGAGAATACAAGTGATCCTATAGTCGTGATGTGATGTGTCACATTGCTGGTTACACACTACAATTTCGGTCGCGTCTGATATATCACAGAGTACTTATTGAGTGATTGTTGGTAGTATGGATCGATTGTGTATATAACTGTGACTGGAGATAATCTACGACCGAATAAAGTAGCTTCACAAACAGATAAATCAGTGTTTCAGTCTACTTACCTACGTTTGCACGTGAAGCAGACCTATACCAATGATTGGCACAGAAACATCCCCATCAACGAAAATCCAGTGGATGGGTTTGCATGAACTCACGTTAAGATAGACGTACCGTCTACCATATGTGGTGATAGGTCTTCCGTTTGCCGCCTACAAGTTTCAAACCGGTTTGTGAAGCCGGTCGTTAGAATTCTCTGGAAGAACGCTAAATTCTGCGCCAGTGTCGACTGGAACGTATTCCTCGGACAAGCGGTGCCAACGTCATCAGGTAACATCTTCAAGGAAAAGACAGGGATCTTACCTGGAAGATAGACTGATGGTATTATTATAGGTCTACTTACGTACTAACCTTATTACTGAAGGCTGTAGTCACTAGAAAGACAATTTGGACAAAGAAATATCTATTCACATAACTTGTCTCTTGAATCTCCTTTGGCTTGCTAAGTATACCCACATGTTTAATAGAAGGCATCGAAAAGTCAACATTATTTGGGGTTCACGTTATCTGCTCATAGTTTTGACTTCAAGTTGTCTTAATCTGATCAGATTATATACAATATACAATATATAAAACACAAGCCCTAAATCCAATTCCCAACTCTTACAGTCAGCTGCAAATCATAATTCTAATTTCTCACACTGGTTTATAACCTTCATTTGGTCCTAGTTATCATGCGGACACTCTCAAGGCCACCTTAGAGTTGCTCAAAGGTCGTCCATAAGTTATAGTCTCATCGTGATTTCAAGTAAATACTCAGTGGTATGCGCCCTATTTTTCTAATTGGTTTCTGTTCAATTTCCATCGTTCCGTCCTGAAACTTGTTAGCACAGTGTCCGTTAGCAAATAAATTATACTAAGAATAATGCTCAATTTCACAACTTTGGAGAAAGTTTGGGTAAATCCCCAGGTCAGGAGGAATTTCGGGGGAATGGCACAAAAAAACTAAAGTTTACCCAAAGTTTAATATAGCGGCTTCCCCAGAATTTCCCCATTATGGGTCAAATTTTCCCAAAAATTGGGAGCTTGAGTGCTTTTGATTTCAACTGATAGTATAATCGTATGACTGCATGGAGTGTCTCATATGCATCTATACAAATGCATGTGACATATTTCATATATTTGTGACGGGTTAATAAAAACCAAACGATTTTTGCGCTTGTTTTAGTAGGGTTTCCAGTATTTGTTGAAGTCCAATGGAACGTACGTAGTCTACACTCGACTACAGTAACCAAGGTCCCAACTTTGAGGAAATTTAAGGGAAATCCATAAATCTTTGGGAAATACCCAACGTTTAGAGAAATCCCAAGAGTTTATGAAATTTAGGGGAAAATCCCCAAATAATAGTTAGCGCTTTACTACACAATAACTTTTCATATGAAATGCATTAATCAAGCTTAACATAATAAATTTAAATAAATAATTGCAAATTGTCATACAACACAGACTTTTAGTTGGGAATAGTCTATCGAATTTAAGGTCTTGTTTTAATACGTCGAACAGATACGAGACAAAGAGTTGTCGGCCTTAAACCACTTTTTGAAAGTTCGAACCCTATGCAGGTAGGGTGTTTATAGTGTTCAAAAGTTCGATTACTGTTTATGTTCATTCTTACTGCAGTGAATTATCACTTTCAAAAAAATAATTTACATCTCGATAGGATTATTAAAAGGCTTGCCCAAGCCGTCAAAGACTTGAGGTTGATTGGCTGTATCAGATCAACATTTTACAGGAGGTTACGCAAGTTAAAAGCTGAATTTATCAAAAAGTATCACTTAACGAGCAGTGACGAAGAGGACGACAATTCAGTTATCGTCACAGTGGTAGGGACCACTGCAGCTACACAGTAGGGTACTAATATTGTTTCAGTAATGAATTACAGTGGATGGTCTTCTTTTACATGATTTAAAAACTTGTTAAGGTTTGACGTCGCCGTCATTGATTTCAGTAAAGCTGTTGGCAAGGTTCCGCACAACCGGCTGTTATATAAGTTAAGAAAAGTCGGGATTGGAGGCAATTTATTGATGTGGATAAAAGACTTCTTAGTTGGGCGTCAACAAAGAATAAGGATGAACTCAAAGTTATCTAGCTGGGAAACTGTGCTTAGTGGAGTGCCACAGGGTACAGTTTTGGGGCCAGTGCTATTCCTCTTGTATGTTATTGACCTTCCTTGTCTCCTATCATCATCGGTCTTGCTATATTCTGACGATGTCAAGATATGGAAAACGATACGATGTAAGAGTGATAGCTTAGAACTTCAAAATGACCTGAAGAAGTTATCTGAATGGTCTCAAACATGGCAGTTGCCGATAAATACTTTCAAGTGTGTTGTGATGCATCAAGGCACAGATACATACACGATGAATAACACTGAGCTACCTGTCGTCCAGACATATAGTGACTTAGGAGTTATCGTTAGTCAAGACTTAAAGACTACTGCACACTGCTGTGCAATAGCCGCCAAAGGTTTTAGAACGTTATGGTCAATACGTAGGGCTTTTAGTCATGTCGACGCTTAAACGTTTTTTGACTTCGTATACAGTGTTCGTTCGTCCTAAACTTGAGTACTGCATACAAGCGGCTAGCCCCTGCTTTAAAAAAGACAGTGAGCTTCTGGAAAAAGTTCAAAGAACGGCGACTAAGCTGGTTCCCGGAATAGCGAAGCTTCCGTATGAATCTCGACTGGCCAAGCTGAACCTTTTCCCGTTGTCATATCGCAGAACTAGAGGCGACTTGATTACAGTCTACAAATTGCTTAGTGATAAATTTGCACCTAACATGCCCTCATTTTTCTTGTCTTCCAAAACAGAGAATTTACGAGGACACTCCAAAAAAGTTCATAAGCCGAGAACAAATTACTTGTCAGCTGACTATCGACTTTCCCATCGAATCATCAACGAGTGGAATTCACTACCTCAGCACGTGGTTGAGGCTCCATCCGTCGACTCTTTCAAAAGAAAGTTGGATCAACTGAGAGACCACCATTGCCAGGATTAACATAGGCCATCGAGCCTCCTGTCCTTCCCAAACTGTAAACTGATAAATGTTGAGAAGTCCTGAAATCATAATGCATACGGTATAGAAACTCGTCCATATGGCTCCATAACAGTCGTCCTCTAGAGCCGTGGTATGGTCTTAAAAATTCCTTCAATCTGGACCACACAGCTTCAATATTATTAGTACGGACACCGGTTTCCGACCCTCTGAAAATGTCCCTTTTGCGTTGATCGGTCATAAATTCCAAGTACCTGTCAAGTATATTTACGGAAATGCTACTTACCCATTCTTCCTTGATACTACGTCCTCTATTGTATTTTCGCTTTCTTACTACCGTTTCATCTATCTCCACAATGCATCCTACTCCTCCAAATGATTGGCGTAGACGTGTCATTTTACTTGCACATATGTCACGGCAGTACTCATACCACTGGACTGCTGTAGTTTCAGTAACATCTGCAAACGCCGCAGCCAGTGTTACTAGTGTCTTTATTACCCAATTTGCCACTAGTATCATGATCTGCCTTAGCGTCAGTCGCGATCGAGTCCCCATTCGAGCAGACTTTTTCCTCCAACATGAAGAACAACGAAACAATCTCACCACAGTGGTCTGCACACTTTGCTGCAGTTATTTGATAACCGCAGTCGCATGTACAAAAACTTCTTAATAGTCCTATCTGTTGTAGCCTCTCAATAATCACCTCTTTTCTAAAATCCGCTGTAAACCGATCGTATGTTAGCATCACGTGTTGAAATTGTACGTGACATATGTGCAAGTAAAATGACACGTCTACGCCAATCATTTGGAGGAGTAGGATGCATTGTGGAGATAGATGAAACGGTAGTAAGAAAGCGAAAATACAATAGAGGACGTAGTATCAAGGAAGAATGGGTAAGTAGCATTTCCGTAAATATACTTGACAGGTACTTGGAATTTATGACCGATCAACGCAAAAGGGACATTTTCAGAGGGTCGGAAACCGGTGTCCGTACTAATAATATTGAAGCTGTGTGGTCCAGATTGAAGGAATTTTTAAGACCATACCACGGCTCTAGAGGACGACTGTTATGGAGCCATATGGACGAGTTTCTATTACCGTATGCATTATGATTTCAGGACTTCTGAACCTTTATCAAACCTTAACAAGTTTTTAAATCATGTAAAAGAAGACTATCCACTGTAATTCATTACTTTCTCATAATATATTTTTACTCTATACTAACTGGATTCTGATTGGCTAGTAATTGTCAAGGTCACTTAACATCCGTTCAAGGTTCGTCCCTAAATTAGAGTCTCGCCCAACCAACGGTAGTATATCTTTAATTATTAAGAATTTATAGGTGGTGTGACTTCAGAAATGTCCCCAACCATTCATCTTTCAATGAAAAAAGTGGCAGGTAGAATAATCATTGGGATGATGAATGGTGGTGACATAACCGTAGAATAGGCCGACAAAATTTCCGACCTTTTTCGTGTGCGGATTCCCGAACTTCCAACATCCGTTCGGAGTGTTCTACGTACATGCAACGACGTTGACCCTAAAATCCTGAAATCGGGAACGTATTACCATTTAAGATTGAAATCAAGTGTGTTGAGAATTTCGGCAAATTGGCTATGTCAAATTCGTTTCACGGAATTGAAGCTTCAGTTAAACTGCGATAGTCTAAGCTTGTTCCAAACCTGTAGCCAACAGCTGTGGCCGATCTCAGGTCGTCTAATAGGTCCATTAGTTAGTAATGTATTCGTAGTTGGGATCTACGGTGGTGAAGTAAAACCATCTGATTTCACCGACATGTCTGCAGCACTTATAACTGAGTTACGAGAGTTATTGACAGTAGGCATCAATGCAGACAAATATCAGGTAGATTTAACAGTTAAATTAGTTGCTGTTATTTGTGACGCTCCAGCTAGCAGTAACGTCAAGTATGTTGTGGGACACAACGGCACCACTGGCTGCGACAAATGTCAGGTTTTAGGGACACGAATGGGTGGTCGAATGACTTTCCCCAATGGTGAACACGATTCGAGAACTGATGTCACTTTTCGTAGTAGGTCCCAATCTATCCATCATCGTGGTAGAAGTTCATTTGAAAATCTGCCAGTGGATATGATAAAATGTTTCCCTTCTGAACCGACGTATATGATATACTTAGGTGTTACTAAAAAACTTATTTCATTATGGAAGGAGCTAGCTATTAAGCGACTTAATAGGATGGATCAATCTATTAGCGCATCAATAAATGCGGCACTAGACTTATGTAGGCAGCACACTGCATGCGACTTTCAACGCAAATGTCGCTCACTACATGAAGTTTCCGTATGGAAAGCAACTGAATGTCGGTTGTTCTTAGTGTACTTAGGACCTGTAGTTCTTCATAATAGGTTACCACTGTCAATGTACAGAAACTTCCACTCACTCTCCTTGCTAATGTATTTATTGTCGCACCCTAAGTTGCACACCACATTCGCAAACAGTGTTCGGGTTTATATTAATAACTTCTTATTAGGTTACGAAAAGTGTTACGGTACCGAACACTTAATCTACAATGTGCATAGTTTAAAGCACATTGCAGAGGACGTTATAGAACATGGCAGTTTAGAGTCGTTCTCTGCCTTTCCTTTAGAATCATACATGAGGAGAATTAGGCGTTCAGTACACTGCGGATTTACTGTGGCTAAACAAGCCGCACAGCGATATGCCGAAGAACTTTACTTTCAAACTATACTGATATAAGTAAAATGCTTAGAATGATCATGAAAGCGGTCAATGAACTGTGTACGAAGATTGATAAATTTATCGCTTCCAATGAACGCTTATCCATGGGTGTAAGCGACAGGCGTACAGAACAAACAGATACGAAAGCTATTGTTTTCCCATTGAGAACGCATCAAGAGTTGCGTTCATTAGAAGCTACTCTAGATGAGCAAAAGTTCAGGGATCATTTCATAAGTTGTAACGGTCAGTCAGGCAATCCTTACCTAGTACCCGTTTCCTAACAACTGTGTTACTTACTCGATGATCTCATGATATACGAGCTATGTTTCGAAGACACCTATGGTCGAATACTAGTAACCTACGAATATCCTCTACTCTTACCGGCCATGTTTCACTGCCATAAATTAGGACGGAACGAACTGCTGCGCAGTAAACACGTCCTTTGGTTGATAGACGGATATCTCGCCTACGCCATAAATGACGCAAGTTGGTAAAAGCTAGTCGAGCCTTCTGTATCCGTACTGAGATTTCGTCACACACCAGACCACAAGGGCTGATGAGACTTCCAAGATAAGTTGAGCGGTCGACACACTCAACTACTTCACTCCCTATGATTAGTTCGGGTGTCAATGCAACCCAATCCTGAAGCAACATTTTGCATTTCAAGGGAGAGAATCGCATCCCGAACATGCTTGCATTGTCGCTTAGAGTGGTCAGAAGACTCTGCATTTTGTCAGCGTCTTCACCAAATAAAACTGTCATCAGCATATTCTAAGTCAACAAGTGAACCTCCCGGTAGAAGTTCAACCCCTGGAAATTTAGATGAGGAGAGTGTTATCTCTAAAAGT